CACTGTTACAGTTTCTCTAATCCATAGTTTTGCTTTCCATGGTTTCAATTACCTGGAGTCAGCCACATTTCAACTATAAAGCAGAAAATTTCAGAAATAAACAATTCATAATTTTTCATTGCATACTGTGCAGTTGTTCTGAGTACTGTGATGAAATCTCACACTATCCCACTTGATCCCCCTAGGGATGTGAATCATCCCTTTGTCCAGTGTATCCACACTGTGTATGCTACCTGTCCACTAGTCACTCAATAACCATCTTTATTACGGAAGGGAGAAACAAAGATCACATTTCCATAACTTTCTATTACAGTATATTGTTATAATTATTTTATTTCATTATAAGTTATTATTATTATTAATTTCTTACTGTGCTAATTTAAAATTTAGCATAGGTATGTATGTAAGTATAGAAAAAAGCATAGTATATATATAGGGTTATTACTATCCAGGATTTCAGGCACCCACTGTGTGTCTTGGAATGTATCCCCTGTGGATAAGGTGAGATTATTATATATCAATTCTCTTTCTCCCATGTCTTATATACAGCCAGTAAATTCTATCATGGAACTATATTCTCTATGATAGCAGCTGCCTTACGTATGTCATTTACTATTTCTAGCAAATACAGGTGAGTAAGATGCTTTGGAGAGAACTCATAGAAGTTGTTTTTTGCTTACTGTAGTTTTCCCATCATCAGTTGAGAATAAGAATGAGGGGGGAGATTTTAGATGAAAAAAATACTGCAAAATTGTTTTCTAGAAGAATGGGAGACTGATTGAACAAAATATAGTATAATTGCCAAGAAACATTGAAGTCTCCTTTAACTGAGAGCAAGCTAGTCAGCACAGCTGTTTTTTTCCATCTATGTCAAGTGACATATGTGTAAGTAAGGAAGAGAGCTAGTATTTTTCAAGCTAGTATGATAAAGTAAGAGATTAGCAAGTGTACTAAATGCATATGCAAGACTGACATAATGAATCATATAATTTAAGTGGAAAAGCATATATGGGTTATTGAAAATTTTGTAGGATTAATATAAGTTTCTATGACCAGTAATGGTCACAATTGAATTGAAATTGATGCATTTCAGAGAATAGATTGATAGGAGGTAGTATCAGGGAGTGGGATACTTGAAATGGAGATTATGGAGGCCTGGCAATTATTATTGAAGACAACTCTAGAGTGTGATAATAAGAATAAATGCCTGAGGTTGGGGTGGACAAGACATTTGAGAAGAGGGTATTCCATAGATCATTTTATGTGAATTCTAAAATTAGCAAGAATCAAAACAAGAAAAGTTCTGATGAAGAAATAAATGAGGGGCTAATGTCTTCAGTGAATGAAATAGAGTGACTGAGGATTTGTGGACAACCACAATAAGACAGATAATGTGTGATATTATAGGATGAGGCCATGTTATTCAAAGTTGGGGATTTTGAGGGAGGAGGGAGGTATGATGTCTTAAAAATCAGTGGTTCAAAGGATCTGGTAGAGAAAACAACCATCATTTAAATGTTAAAGGGAACTATGTCCTGGGAGAGTCAAATAGCAGTTGGTAGGGGAGGGGTAAGTAAGTGAAAGTCTAGGGAAGAGTTTGAAGATATTACAATTAATCTAACTATCTACACTTGATGTTAGAGAAAAATTTAGTGAATTCTCTCTTGGAGTCATCCCCAGGTCCACAGTTTGGCTGAGTCCATCCCTATGGTCTGTTGTACACACCACTCCAGCATTTAGCATATGAGAAATTGGGTGGGGTGGGAGGGGAAGGTGGTGTGAAAATGAAGAAAACTGTACTTGAACAACAATAAAAATATTTTTTAAAGTGTAAAACAAAGCATAAAAATAAGATAAAAGTTGCCTAAAAAAAAAGAAATGACCTTCAGAAATCCAGCCCCTCTCTGTCCAACTAAACTGTTCACTTATAAAGAGCAATGTATGATGAGAGTTACCAGCAAAAGATCTTTCATAGAGTAAATGTTTAGCAAATATTTATTAAATTGAAGTTATTATTGTGCACTATAATTATTTGTCTCTCCCCCCTAAATATGATCTTTTTGAGGATAGAGACTGTATTTTATTATCCTTATATTACTTTCCTGATACAATAATAGACACACATAGAATGAATTCACAGGATGGATTCTTTTTTTAATTTTAATTAATTTTTTTATTGCTGTTCAAGTACAGTTTTCTGTCTTTTCCCCCCACCCATCTCCACCACTCCAGCCTTCCACACCTCCCTCCCCTATTTCCACACCCCCTTGTTATTGTCCATATATCCTTTATAATTGTTCCTGTAAACCCTTCATCCTTTTCCCCCATTATCTCCTCCTCTCTCCCCTTCAGTCACTGTGAGATTGTTCTCAATTTCAATGTCTTTGTCTATACTTTGCTTGCTCGTTTGTTTTGTTGATTAGGTTCCTGTTAATGGTAAAATCATATGGTATTTGTCTTTCACCACCTGGCTTATTTCACTTAGCATAGTGCTCTCCAGTTCCATTTATGCTGTTGCAAAGGGTAGGAGCTTCTTTTTTCTGCTGCATAAAATTCCATTGCGTAAATGTACCATAGTTTTTTGATCTATTCATTTACCGATGGGCACTTAGGTCGCTTCTAGCACTTGGCTATTGTAAATTTTGCTGCCATGAACATTGGAGGGCATAGGTTCTTTTGGATTGGTGCTTCAGGGTTCTTAGGATATAATCCTAGCAGTTGAATTGCTGTGTCAAAAGGAAGTTTCATTTTTAGTTTTCTGAGGAAATTCCATAGTGTTTTCTGTAGTGGTTGCTCCAGCCTGCAATCCCACCAACAGTGCACTAGTGTTCCCTTTTCTCCACAACCTCTCCAACACTTGTTGTTTGTTGCTTTGTTTATGATGGCCATTCTGACTGCTGTGAAGTAGTATCTCATTGTGGTATTTCTCTCTGCATCTCTCTGATGGCTAGCAATACTGAGCATCTTTTCATATGTCTCTGGACCTTCTGTATATCCTCCTTGGAAAAGTGTCTGTTCAAGTTCTTTGCCCATTTCTTAATTGGGTTGCTTATCTTTTTAGAGTGGAGTTGTGTGAGTTCTTTATATATTTTGGAGATCAAACCTTTGTCTGAGGTATCATTGGCAAATATGTTTCCCCATACAGTTGGCTCTCTTTTTGTTTGAATGCTGTTTTCTTTAGCCATGCAGAAGCTTTTTATTTTGATAAAATTCCATTTGTTTATTCTTTCCTTTATGTCCCTTGCTCTAGGGGATGTATCAGTGAAAATATTGCTGTATGAAATAGGATTAAAAAAATTTCTCCCAGTAATTCATCCCAAGTGAAATAGAATGTATTAATCTAATGATAGTATATTTCAGTTATTTATTGTTGTTTAACAAGCCAAAAATTATTTGCTTAAATGTAAGAGTTTATTATTTCTCATTATTCTGCCATCTATGTTGAGTTCAGCTGGACCATTTTTTCCGACTATATGTGGTAACTGCTGGAACATCTAATATGTTCTTCACTCACATGTATGAAGCTGGGATGGTTGGAGCTACTGGAGTCTGACCAGATATTTTTCTCTCTCCATGTTTTTACAACTGCTTTTTATAGCTAGCTTGGGTTCACTTACAGAATATTTGGCTCCTTATCGTGTTGGCTTCTAAGAGAAAGAAAGTGGAAGCTGAAGACCTTTTGCAAACTAGGTCCAGAGCTGGCACAGTGTCACAGTGTCATTTCCGCTTCATTCTATTGGTTAAAGACACAGCCTAAACTGAAGGACAGGTAAAATAGACTCTACATCTTGACATGAAAAGCAGAATGCACATGAAGAAGGCCCAAGGAAGTGATAGCAGCCATTATTGGAGACTATCTCCACAGTGCCTGTATCAGGATTCAAATTCTATTTCAGTGATCAAATTCACTTTAGAAACACCTTCCTGAATAACTTCAAACTCATCTTCAAGTTCTGTATCATGATCTCTGAAACTTCAGGAGATAGCTCCCATACCTCAATTTAGTGCAGTACAGTTCATTCAACAGATACTGAATATGTGTAATAAATAACTCCTCATGATGACCTTTTCCTTCCATCCTACCCATATCTCTCCACACCCACCTAGTTTTGCTGCCTTTATTCTTATCACTGTGCTGCTCCCACATGACTCTGTGAAACTTGAGCTTCTCATGTCAGAATGTCCTTTTAGTTATTTCCTTTGACCTCTCTTGGAATAAGCCTGAAAAAAACTCACATTCTCTTGAAATCCAGCAGATTCATGGCCAGTGCAGAAATATTTTGAACTCATTTCTAGCTGTAATTTCTAATTTCCCCTTCTAGCCATACTCTCTCACCTTAGGTAAATACTAATTTTGCCTTTAATCCAAAGTGTACTGTGTCTTCATTTGTATTTTATGATATATTGTAGTTATGTATAGAAATAGCCCTGGAACTTTGATGTGCTCAAATGAACCAGTGTTATCTTTATTAGAATCTGAGAGTCTTGAGGGATCATTTTAGTTAGGCTTAATCAAGACACTTTCTAGAGAAAGTGTTTTTCTGACCAATATGGTCTCAGACTATTGTGAGGTCTTTATTAAACAACTTTAGTTCTATCAAATAACAGTGGTGTCCTTAATTATATGTTATATTTCAAAGTTCTCTTTTAAAACATAGGTACAAAAAACATTGGTGATATTGGGTTATTTCCCTCTCTGTAGCAATAAATTCTCACTTCATTTAAATGGTGTTAGAGAGATACTTTTTTGTTGTTGTTATTGTTCAGAATTAGGAAGCTAGTGACAAGCAAAGCTTAAGCTATATCTTCAAGGTTACACTTTTGGGCGTTAGGTATTTAAGACAATAAAACAAAACAAAAAACCCACAGTTGAGAAATTGAGTGCTAATACTCTTTACAGGAAATTCCTGTAAAGGAAATAGGCTTACTCACTTTTCAACTAAACCTAACCACAAGCCTTATCTGGTGGAGGAGGCTGTCAAAGAGTCTTAGACATTTCATCTTCAGGGCATTTCTTTCTACTGATAGAGGTAGTTAATTTGATTTTCCTCTGTATTATAATAGACTTGACTATGTCAGTGGTCACTTGCAAAATACTGAAGTTTTTTTGTCTCCAATTATAAATAATTATTTCCAAACTTGTAAAAATTAAATTGCTGTTGTCTTCCCTGGTTATCTCTCTGGCTAGAAGGAGATATAGTAGCACTATTTGAAATTTGATATTCTCACATGTTCTTCAGACAGAAGAGCCAGCAGTCACGGAAATGACATGAAGTTTTTTCCCACATTTTTATGCCTTAAGAACAGGAAATAAAGGTAAGACAATGGTACTTTTTTTTTTACTATATTTCCTAATCAGAAAATGTGAATGGGGAAGAGTTTAAATACTTTTCAGAATGAATTGCTAACACAATTCTCTTTTATAAAATATATTGTAATGATAGATGTACAATCTAATTATCAAAATTTACATTTCTATGTATCTGAAGTCTTCAGTTTACAAAAAAATGGTGGTTATAAAAGAAACATATTTATAGTGCTTTGAGCATTTTGTGGAAAAGGTGAAGAGTAGAGGGACTCAAGATATTTGCCAAACTTGACACCTGCCTTCTTCAGCATTGTCTTTTCTCTATTCTTTTCCAAAGTTTGGTCAGTGAAATTTTTAGTTCATTATAGCCAAAGATAATTGAAGTTGTAGCCTTGACCAACTGAGGGGGGTAATCCACAACTTCTGACAAAGGAAATAAAACTCTCTAAAAGAACTATGAAATGTTTTGAAGAAAACATGCTTCAGACACTTGAAATCACATGATGGGCTCTCATCTTTCTGTGAGGTGACAGCACATGGTAATAATGGGAGAATCAGAGTCTTTGAGATATTCTACACGTGTACATAAATTTCTCTTCTAATATTCATCCATTGACAGTGGCAATCACTATTTCAAGCAATGTCAGTTTTTGTTGTACATCAATAAGAGGACAACAGCTATCTTCCAGACCATGACCATAGACTAATGAGAGAGTAGGAGTCTGCTAAGATGAAGTAATATCAAATGAGTAATATGACAGATGATTGCTAGCTGGCACAGTAGTCAGGAGGGAGGGATGGGATTCATTATGCAGGTGATTAGGGAAGGTCTCTTTGGGGAAGAAATCCAGATAATATGTGAGAGAGGGAAATCAGGTCATGCAGGATTTTATACATGGTGCTTGGGAATTGATTCTTTATCTCATTTGCTGGGGCTGGTGAAATTATTAGCATAAAAGTGACATCCTCAAGTGTCATTTTTGCTTTTTAGAAAGATGCCTCCAGAGGCTGGAGATAGGAAGATAGTTTGTTCAGGAATTTTGTGGACAAAGGAAAGAAAGATGAGGAAGGCAGACCACATCTTGAAAGGCAGTTGCTTTATTCTTGCCCCTTTCATTGACCATAGTCATTATAAGAAAGAACCACTAGCAGGAATAAATAATGTAGTAACTTTGTTCCCTGTGCCTGGAACTCTTTAAGCTGCTCCACCATCTCATGAAACTGCTTCTGCACCGAGTACTTCCTGCTTTCATAAGGTAAGCGGCCAGGTGGAAACATCTTGTGCTTCTGGCTCCCACCTGAGCAAACCGGTCTGGATAGACCTACCCATCATACATGGCTCTGCCCTTCTTCTCTCCAAGATAATGTCTCTGTGGTTTTCAGGGTTGTATTTTTTCCTGCCTCCTTAGAGAAGTCAGTCCATGAACTCTCTTACTCTCACTTGTAGTTGACCTGCTATCCTGCCTACTCATTTCTCTCACAGTGGAATCATGTCAAAACTCTCCCTTTGTCAATAAAGGAGAAAAAAACACTTCCCTAAAGAGTGCAGCTTGTGGAAGATGCAGCATGTCCCAACTTCCCACATTCCTTCCCCTACTGTCTCATCACAGCACAGCTCTCTATCATCTCACACTCACCTTGTGCATACTCATCTGACCCACTGAAAGCCAAACCTAATGGATCCTTTCAGGTTTTTTTGTGTCCAATTCCTCCATAGCTTCTGACATCAACATCTAGTCTTTCCTTTATACTTTCTCTCTGCTTAGTGCTTCCTGTACTCTGTTTTATTTCTTGCTTTTGGGTACATCCTTTTAAATATTTTCTTGGCCCTGACCCACCCTTCCAAGCTGGTGTTCCTCAGGGAAGTCTGTCTGCTTTTTCCTGGCAGTGGGCAGACTTTTCTGGCTTGAACCCCTTTGTCTCCTATGCTACTGACCCCAGATTCCTTCCAGAGTTCCACCTGGGCTGCCCTTGGACTTTTCCAATTGGATTCCCAAAGATACCTCCAGCTTGGTGTTTCTGATAGAGAAACATGAATTATTGTTAACTAATTTCTAAAGCTTAAAATTATTCCCTTCTTCTGCATCTGAAGATGTTGGATACATGGTGTGTGTGTGTGTGGGGGGTGTGGGTTGGAAACTGGTTGAAAACAAATAATTTTGTAAGATGATGAAAGCCAAGTGTTTCTTCATAAGACAAAAAGGAGACACCTGGAAAGAAATGTCCTGGGAAAGTCGTGGGTAGAGGGAGTGGTTGAAGGAACAACCAGTGAGGGAGGAATGAAGGGAGGAATTTGCATAGCTGGTTAGACGTCAATAGTGAGAGATAATGACTTTTTGTTATCTCCATAAAAATCAACTCTGGCTTATGTGGCTCAGTAGATTGAGTGCTGGCCTGTGAACCAAAAGGTTGCCAGTTTGATTCCCAGTTAGGGCACATGCCTGGGTTGTGGGTCAGGTCCCCAGTTGGGGTCATGCAAGAGGCAACCAATCAATGTAACTCTCACACATCAATGTTTCCTTCCTTCTCTTACTCCCTATCTTCCCTTTTCTCTAAAAATAAATAAATAAAATGAAAAATCATTTTATAATAAAAATGTATGGGGAGAATATTTTTAAAGAGGACTTTCAGAGTGGCCATACAATATTTAATAAAATGTATTCCTTCCTTCCTTTCTTCTTTCCTTCCTTCCATTCTATTCCCTTCCTTCCTTTTCTTCCCTTTTTATTTTTTCTTTTCCATTATCACTGCATTTGTTTCTTTATTTCATTTTCCTGGAATTGTTTATTTGCATGTTCATGTTGACAAAGACATGCTCCTTGACCAAATTTTAGTCAGGATCCTCTGAAGACCTTAAATGGTCCTTGACCTTGGTCCTAGTTATGTCTAAGGCTGCTCACAACCCAGTTTTAGCAAAAGTTATGTGAAGTCATCCTCCTGCTCTTGATATTTGACCAGGCTCCTTGATACCTCTTCTCCCACCCTTGTTTCTAAGGCCTTGAGTACCTGCAGAAAGAATCCTATTAGGTCAGTTTAATAAGAATTCTGTAGCCTTTGATGTCTCCTCTTAGTAAGTTTCCATCTCCTTATTTCTTTGGCTATTCACCTGTCCTTGTTGTATTCTGAACTGAGCTTTATGTGTCTAGTCTAGTGTAACAGTCTTGAACAAAGTCTTCATTGCTGTTTAACTCAGTATCAAAATAATTTTTTCTTCAACATTGTTATCCACACTGTGTCAGACCCTTCAATACAGGGCTCTACCATTTTTATTTTGCCCCCCCCTCCCGAAATTGCCTATGACACTATGGGAGTGTTTTAGCAGAAAACTCTAGCTAAGATTTAGGGGTTAAATTTTCTTATTTCTGTAACCTCAAGAATAATACACAGGGTATTTTTATGTTAGTAATAATAGAACGCTGAGAGTTCTAACATAATAGAACTAACAGAGGCATAGGAAAAACTGTTTTATAGAAAAAGTACTTTTATTTTTCTTTCAAAATAAAATTAATTAATAATCAAATATTAACTACTGAAATGGGTTGAAAATCTGAATGTTTATTTTTTTCCCAACTTCAAATTCATATATTGAAATCCTAATCCTCAAAGATGATCCCAAGGTGATAGTATTAGGGAATTGTTTAGATGTTAACAGTGGAGCCTTCATGAATGAGGTTAGTGTTCTTATAGCAGAGACTCCAGAGAGATTTCTTATGTCTTCCACCAAGTGAGGTCACAACAAGAAGGCACTGGCTATTAACCAGGTAGAGGGTCTCCACCAGAAGTAATTATTCTAGTGCCTTGATTTTGGAATTACCAGTCTCTAGGGCTGTGAGAAGTGAATTTCTGTTGCTCATAAACAATCTACTCTTGGGTATTATGCTGTGGCAGCCTAGCTGGAATAAGACACCATCCCAGTATCCTTATCTCTTATCTCTTGAAATGGATTGAAAATTCCAATGATCATCCTGTGAACAAGGCAGACAAAACCACCAGAAGAACAGCCCAGGCTTTTACTCTCTTGCTTTCTCTTTTTTTAAAAAAAGAAGATTTTATTTATTTTTAGGGAGAGTGGAAGGGAAGGTAAAAGAGAGGAAGAGCAACATTGATGTGAGAGTAATACATCCATGGGTTGCCTCTTGTATATTCCCTGACCAGGGACTGGACTCACAACCCAGGCCTGTGTGCTAAGAATCAAATCAGAGAGCTTTTGCCTTGTGGGATGATGTTCAACGAACTGAGCCACATTGGTCAGGGCTACTCTCTCTCTTGAGGTGACCTGCCCCCCTTTTATATTTCAGAGGATTGGTAATGCCATTCAGGAGCAACTTTTTCTTTCTTATTTGAGGCACAGAGAGTCAAGCATCATCTATTATCTAATAGTTTTTATAATCTGTGTGCAGACTGTCTCAAACTTTATGGTATGAGCTATATATCACTAGTTTCCCTAAATGTGGAGAATGTAACATTTTTGCTCAACTTGAGTTTTTTTAAGGAAAGTTTTCACTTAATTCTTTCCAAATTACTCTCAGAAATATATATACAATGTGAAAATAAAAAGACACAAAACTGTACTTGAACAACAATTAAAATAAATTTTAAAAATAAAAATAAATAATAAAAACTTGAAAAAAAATCTGTGAGTAAATGGAGTCAAAAGAACTGCATGGTACAAAGCTCCAAGTGATACAATGAGCTTGAAATATTCTCCCTCCTTCAGATGTATAAAAAATGACACATGCAGAAACTGCTACATACCATTGAAAATAGCATGCACATGTGGCCATATGACAGCTCACTTGGAAGGATCTGCCCTTTCAAAGCTTCCTGTGTGACTTGCATTTTGATCATAAGTTCTGATTTCTCCATTTTCCATTTACAGAAACAAAGAGGATTCTCAGAGTAGAGCTCTGAGTCACAATGTACTCCACTCTGGCCACAGAATATGGTTACTGAAGGGACAGAACCCAAGGAGAATAATGTTTTATTTGGGATGGATATTTCTTTGTCTTGTCACAGGAGAGAGAATTAAAGAATTTAATATTTCAGGTAGGGGATTTCACTTTTTTGTTAACACTGTGAATCTTGTAGTCAATGTTTAAAGTGACATATATGATATATCAGTAACATGACATGTTAATACAGAACACTTCTATCTTGTTAATATGGGTACAAGAGGATAAATTATTGGAGTGAACAGCTTTTAGCTGATACCAAGCATTGACGGGGAACCCAGTTACAACTTGGTAGGTGTTTAGTGGGCATAGCCAAAGAGGAACGAAGGGTGAGTCAGCCACCTTTACCAGGAAGCCACTATTGCCACCAGTGACGCTGAAGTCCTCTGGGAGGGGTTAGAAGGAGAACTTCCTTTTCTCTATGAAATGGGAACAGTAAAGGGAAAAGAGATACAACTATTCTTTGTAAAGGTAAGTCAGAGTTTCATCTAATACATTTCAGTATTGCTTTTTGTGTGTGTGTGGTTTTCAGGTTGCTCCACCAAAAAATTTCTTTGGACATATTCCGCAAAGAGTGAGGAGGAATTTGTCTTATTTTGTGACTTACCAGACCCACAGAAATCCTACTTCTACCACAGAAGTTCACTCACAACAACCCAAGGCCCTGAACGCCTGCCTTGCAGTGATAGTAAGGACTTATCTGAGGTCCAGTGGTACCTACAACCTCAAAATGGAGATACATTAAGGGAAATTACTAAAAACTATTCTCACATCATCATGGACAACATTACCCTACGTTTTTTGATGATGAATATCAACAATGCTGGGTCATATATTTGTAGACCCAGGATTAGGTATGTCCAAAATGCATTCTCTATCAAAAACACCACTAAATCCCATATTATCTGGATATAATACCTATGTTTATGGGACCTTGTTGACTCTCCTAGGAGCCCCCAGGATGAGGCCTGTTGTGTTAAGATGGTCTTAGAAGTTAAGTCCAAGACAAACATGTCCTGTGTGAACTCTGTACCACATAAGCAATACCTTCTTCTTGGTAGTACTGACTCCATATATTGCCCTAGTCTTGGCTGCCAAAAGGATGCACAGAGTCCAGAGATGACCTGGTACCAGGTATGAATGACTTTTCCAAAATTAATGCAAGAGGATGGTTTTTAATGGTAACATCTCTATCATATAGGAATGTTAATTTGAATATCTGAGGTCTACAACTTTCCAAAACGTTGGCCTTATTTCTACAAAGAAGACCCTACTTCTAAAATAGTTTCCCCCCTAGATAGCCACAGGGCCTGATATTCCAATTATTAGAATCATCCTTTTGATTGTGCCAGGAAAATTTCTAAAAGTCTAATATATACATGTGAAGTTAAGACATCAACTTACAACATCCACTAATGCAGAAGGACACATGAGCTCATTTTATTGCCTTTAGAAAGCAATGAGCATTGCTAAGGGGAAGAGAGCACCCACCAAGTGATACTTGATGGGTTTCTGAAAGAAATAAGAGAGTGGTGTACTTTTCTAAGTGGACACATCTGGGAGACATTTAAGACAAATGCTCAGTGGCTCTGAGTGACAGATGACACAGTGAGAAGGGAGAAAGACAGAACAGGGGCCAGGAAATACTAAGAGAAAGACTGAACAGGGGGCAGGAAAAGTCGTTTCATAATAACTTTGAGGTATAAACCACATTTGTGTAAACATAGCAAACACTTCACATTTTCATTGTGCTTTATAGTTATATCAAGTGCTAAGAGATATACAAATGCTTGGTAAGTAGTCCTATGTCAGCTGACCCCTGGATGATGGAATCAGGGATTAGAATTTAAATGACTTCCTAAACTTACAACAATTTTTAAAATTGCTTCATACAGATGCTATAATTTTAACATGATTTTTAAGGCAAAGTCCAGTACTTTGCCTTAAAAATCATGTAAAACATTACATTTGACTTCAAAATATTTGTTTGCTAAAATTAAAAAAAATAATTTTAAATTGCCACTGATTGAAGTCAAGAAGGCAGCCTCTGTTTATTTGGTGGTTTTACATGCTCCGAGACTTAACAATTAGAGGCTGATGAAGGTACAATTACTGTGGTGTGAGAAGACATTTTCTCACCTGATTTTCTTGAAACCTGGTGACAATAGGTGGAAAGGTGTTATATCTATTTTATGAAAAAGTATTCATGGATGATGAGTGATATGCTTAAGGTATCACATTTATATTTTAAAGTGACACTGAAAATATGCTGGCTTCAATGAAATCCTAATTTAAGAAACATTAATTTCGTAACCTCTAAAAGGAGGTTAATAAGAGGAGTCAATGGTTCTGCCCATTATTTTCAGTTGTCTCTTAAGAATAAAACTTCCCTTAGTTCAAAAGTATTTGTGTGACAGATGTCTTACAAATTTGGATGACAGATGTCTTTCTATGTCAAGATAGGCTGCTCCAAGCCCAGGAAACCAAGTTTGCCCCAGTTATTTCAGATAAAATACATATCCTGGAAATGAAGGCTTATTTTTACTTTTAGGTAAGAGCAAGCCACAGAGTAGTTGCCAGCTTTGTGCATCTATTGCCCTTGTAAACTAAACCCTAAGGCTGTATGACATTTACAAAACAAAGTTTTATTTCACTTCCCCAAGGCTTTGAATAAAAAATATCATGGTGCATTTAATGGTGAACAGGTATCTGTTCTAAAAGCAGGCAAACAACAGCTATTGTTAAAATTGTACCTCCTGATGCAGATTTGGAGAGGTCAATGTTTCATCCATTGCAGGTACGTGTGTTCATGAGCAAACACACATATGCACACATAGAAACATGCATACCTGGAACCTCTCAGACCTCATGTAAGCAACACTAAGAGTGATTACATTAGGCAGGGAATTGTACTCACTGCTCTTTTCTTTCATGCAAAACCCAGGTACTCCGGTGGTGGGTGACTCACACTTAAGACATCTCAGAGCAGATGACACTAACACTGGCAGAGAGGATGAAAACATGGTGCTGTTGAATGGAGGTGAAACTGCTTGCCAGGGATACACCTGCCCGGTGCACAGAATATCCAACTGAAATAAATCTATAGGCTGCAGTCTCTGAAAGTTTCCAAAATATTTTTGGTAGACATGTCAAAATTTTTAAATTTGGAGGTTCTTTTTATTTTGTTGCTGTTCACATCCAGTTGTCTCCATTTTCACCCCACCAGAGTACCCTGCCCCATCCTTCCCCACCACCCACCTTTGAACTACCCTGTTTGGCTTTATCCATGTTCCTTGATGGGTCTTCCCCTATTTTCCCCCATTATCCCTCTTCACTTACCCTTCTGGTTGCTGTCAGTTCATTCTTTATTTCAGTATTTCTGGTTATATTTTGTTTGCTTGTTTGTTTTGTTGATTAGGTTTCACTTATAAGTGAAATCATATGGTATTTGTCTTTCACTGTCTGGCTTATTTCTCTTAGGCTAATGCTCTCCAGTTCCACCCATGCTGTCATGAAGTGTCTTCTTTCTTTCTGCTGTGTAGAATTCCATTGTGTAAATGTACCACAGTTTTTTTTGATCCACTCATTTACTGATGGGCACTTAAGTTGCTTCTAGCACTTGGCTATTGTAAATTGTGTCTCTATGAACACTGGAGTGCATAGGTTCTTTTGGATTGGTGTTTCTAGGATTCTAAGTGTATAATCCCAGTAGTGGTATTGCTTTGTCCAAAGGCAGTTCCATTTTTAGTTCTAAGGAAATTCCATACCGTTTTCCACAGTGGCTGCACCAGTCTGTATTACCACCAATAGTGTACTATGGTTCCCTTTTCTCCACAACCTCTCCAGTACCTGTTGTTTGTTGCTTTGCTTATGATGGCCATTCTGACTGATGTGAAGTGGTATCCTCATTATGGTGTAAGTTGCATCTCTCTGATGGCTAGTGATACTGGGCATCTTTTCATATGTCTCTGGACCCTCTGCATGCCCTTCCTGGAGAAGCATCTGTTCAAGTCCTTTGCCCATTTTTTAACTGGGTTGTTTGTCTTCCTGGAGTGGAGTCATGTGAGTTCTTTATATATTTCGGAGATCAAACTCTTGTCCAAGGTATCATTGGCAAATATATTTCCCATATGGTTGGTTCCTTTTTCATTTTACTGCTGTTTTCTTTAGCCATGCAGAAGCTTTTTATTTTGATGAGGTCCCATTTGTTTATTCTTTCCTTTATGTCCCTTGTTCTAGAGGACATATCTGTGAAAATATTATTGTGTGGAATATCTGAGATTTTCCTGCCTATGTTCTCCTCTAGGACTTTTATCGTGTCACAATTTATATTTAAATCTTTTATCCACCTTGAGCTTATTTTTGTGTATGGTGTATGTTGATGATCAAGTTTCTTTTTTTTTTTTTTTGCATGCAGCTGTCAAGATCTCCCAACATCATTTTTTAAAAGATTTTATTTATTTATCTTTAGAGGGGAAGGGAAGGAAAGAGGTAGAGAAATATCAATGTATGTTTGCCTCTCCTATGTCCCCTGCTGGGAACTGGCCTGCAACCCAGGCTTGTGCCCTGACTGGGAATCGAACCATGATACTCTGGTTCTCAGGCCTGTGCTCAATCCACTGAACTACACCAGTCAGGGCTCCCAACATCATTTCTTGAAGAAGGTATTTTTAACTCCATTTTATGATTCTGCCCCCTTCTTTGAATATAAATTGACCATAGAAACTTGGGTTTATTTCTGGGCTGTCTTCCATTGACCTATGTGTCTTTTCTTATGCTAGTACCAGGCTGTTTTGATTACAGTGGCCTTGTAATATAGTTTGATATCAGGTATTGTGATTCTTCCTACTTTGTTCTTCTTTCTCAAAATTGCTGAGGCTATTCTGGGTCATTTATGGTTCCATATAAATTTTTGAAATGTTTGTTCTATATCTATGCAATATTTTATTGGGATTAATCCTAATTCCAAAAGTAGATAAAGACACAACATAGAAATAAACTTACGGGCCAATATCGCTGATGAACATAAACACTAAAATCCTCAACACAATACTGGCAAACCGCATCCAGCAATACATTAAAAAGATCATACACCATGACCAAGGGAGAGTCATCCCAGTGATGCAAGGATGGTACAATACTTGCAAATCAGTAAATGTAATACATCACATAAACAAAAGAAAAGACAAAAATGATAGATGCAGAAAAAGCATTTGATAAGGTACAACATCCATTTATGATAAAAACAATCAGCAAAGTGGGAGTAGAGGGAACATACCTCAACATAATAAAGGCCAGATATGAGAAACCAACAGCCAACATCATACTCAATGGGCAAAAACTAAAAGCTTTCTCACTAAGATCAGGAACAAGACGAAGATGTCTACTTTTACTAGCTCTATTCAACATGGTATTGGAAGTCCCAGCCACATTGATCATACAAGAAGAAAAAATAAAAGGCATCCAAATTGGAAAGGAGAAAGCAAAACTGTCATTGTTTGCAGATAACATGATAGTGTACAGAGATTCATGATAGAACTATTTAATGATGAAGAAGTTGGACTTGAAGTAAGTCAATTATTATATACCCTAATTATGTTTTTCTCTATATTTTCTTTATTTCTAAAGAACTGATATAAAAATAACCTTGTCATAAAGAGATTTCAATGATAGGGCATTTTATATTCATTAGGTAAAAAAATATTTGACTTGGGGAAAATTATAACAAAGGTTCAGTGAGAAAGACTCTTCATGAACTCTTGTTTATGCCATGAATAACTTTTCCATTGGCGGTTTAAGACAATCTCACTCATATGCCACGTTTGCTTGCCATACTGCTGAAGTAACTACCTGACCATCTCTGAGGCCTGTGTTCCATGGGGTTTTCATACATGAACTGCCACTTCTTTTTCTCATTTCCTTTTGACCTAGTTCTCACAGTAACTAGCACTTGATGGCATTTAGTAGGCATACTGACATGGAGAACTGCTGAGAATGATAAGACTGGCTAGACCAGAGATTAATGTAATTCCAAGTAGGAAAGAAGTAAACATTATTTAGATTTGATTTCTGAAAACTGTTTCAAATGGGATACATAGGCCCATTTGATTGTTCTTAAGGTTATATTTCAGACC